GTAGCCCCCTTCTCTCCATTATGTTCCACAGAAGTTTCTATTGAACATTATCCAAAGCTTTTACTATACCACGAATTTAGGTGGGTTTCACAATTGTGATTAAAGTCTTTCTTCATTATTCTTTTTAATGTGAAAATTGCATCACGGTCACTGCCTTTCGAAATCCCATTGTTCTTTTATATAAGTGGTCTGCTTTTATTTTAAATCTTTCATTTAGTATTCTCGATTAGAATCTTGTATGTATGTATCAATAGACTATTTCCTCTGAATTGCTGGGTCTCCTCGTTACCTTTCTTCTAAGTGAATTACTTTTTCTTTTTGCCATTCTTAGGATTAGTTTATTTCTCCAGCACATATTAAAGAAATGAACAAGGTGTAGAGAAATAAACATTCCGAGTATTTTAGTTCTTGTCCATCTCATTTCATACCGGTGCTTTTTGATTTTTACATTATTGAGTCTCATGTAGTCATCTATTCTTAAGGTTCTCTGCATTTAGTGTGATGTTTTTATTATTCACATTTTTCATTACCCATAATGCTTATAAATGTTTCACCCATCTTTCCTTTCAATTGCTTAATATACATTCTCTCTTCATTACTATTCACAAATTTTCCATTCCTTTGAATCTAATGTTGTCTTCCCGTTGTATATATTTCTATTATTCCAATAAATCTGTCCCAATAGAGATCAGCGTGAGCTTTTCAATAATATTTTTACTTTTCTAGCTTTTTGTATCTTCCCTTGTGATTTTAGTAGGGCTTGTCAAGTATATTTTTATGCCTCTCCTGTTAAGCTCTAGCACTCTTCTTCGATATCATCATTCCAATTTTCAAACCTTTCTTTTTTGAACTTTTTTTTCTGTGCTACTTCGTCATCTGCAGATTCTTTTTATTTGTTGTATGTTTGCCAGTTATTTTTCTTTTCCTCTCTGTGAAAGTTTTGAAGATTTTTAGGTTATTCTTATTTTGACATAGGTTCTCACGCTTTATTCTTGGTAACAGGTATATTGAGTTCTTTCATTATATGAATCTGAATTAATTTTTCACCCATCTTTTAATAAATTTACACAGGTTATTACTAGAATGATCAACGTTTATGTCGCAGCTCTCTTTAACGGTTGTATCTTCTATTATTTTTGATTATTCTTCCGATTTCAATTATATAACAATAATGGATCTACTACCTCATGCTGACCTTGTATCATTAATAATGTCTTTGTTCTTTTTAAATGATATCTGCCAACTTATACAGTTCATTGAAGGCTGCGAAATTCCCTCAATTAGCTCCATCTAATAATTTTTTACACTTTCTCCCACCTTCCACAGTCTTTGGTCATACTATCATTCCCACTCTTGCATTTAATACCTGCAAGAAGGACTCATATCTTTTAATTGCATTTGTCCAACAGTTCCTGCATGGTTCTGTAGAATTCCTCTGTTTCTTCCCTCTTTCTTCCTCCAGGGCATACACACAATAACCACAAATGTCCTCTTTCATGTTTTAATTTCAGCAAAATTATCTGGTCATTTACTTACTGACCTCCTTAATTCTTGAATTCCCACTTTTTGTCTACAATATAGCTACTCCTTTGGCAGACTCTCTCTTGCTGATCTACTCCCACTTAAAACATGCATAATTTTCTACATATTTGATCCTTTTAATTTCTTTTTTGTTTCTGTTACTACAGCTAGGTTGATATTCATCTTTTCAGAAATGTTGCCAGTTCATTTTCTTTCCCTGATATACTCTAACATTCCAGGTAGCCGTTTAAATATTCGATATCTGTTTTGTACTCCCATGTTCATTGCCTTAGTCATTATAGTATTTCATTCCGAGCCATTATTTGGGACACAGCTAGTAAATTTTTTTATGTGTGTAGGCTTACTAGCCCTTTCCGCACTTTGCTGTCCGTAAAGGAGGCGAGTTATTTTCGACTTCCCTTGTCCTAGAGAGATTGCTCTTCATGCTTCGGGCTCTTTGCCCCATCTAGATTCTTTCTGCCTGTTCTTTCTTGAAGCCCGGTTAATGCTCCTTCTGGAGTACTTCTTAGTCAGATCCCCACCCTTCGACCGTCCAGCAAGGGCGGCCCTACCAGTAGCTACGCTACCGCCGCATAGCTCTTGGGTTCATGGGATACTCAAGCTCCGCCACCATCGACAAAGTCATGTACTCCCTAAGCGGAGGCTTCGTAAACTAAGGAGAATAAACTATGCAATGGCCTGTATCATTCTTGCCAGGAGAATTAGGAACAGGGTATCGCTCTTCCCCCTCTCCCCTCTTCCCCCTCTCTCCCCTCTTGCCCTCTCTCCCCCCTCCCCCTCTTCCCTCTCCCCTCTCACACCTCGCTCCCTCATGTTTCATCAAGACACATCACATTCAATTTCTCACTCCACCATCAAACTTGGCATTGATCTCAGATGTTTTTGCATGTCATAGGTGATATTCCTTTCATACTCCAATCATGTAATGATCTCCGATTTGTCAGCTTAGTAGGGTGTCTGCCTCCACCACCCCACCCCTTTCTAAAATTATTTCAAATTACTGCAGGTATTTAATTTCTGCACACTAATCGTACTGCTTATTGCTTTTAGGGAAGTTATACATAATAAAGGAATAATATTCTGAATCGTGAATATGTGATAACTAGGAGAGAACTTTATGCCCTTAAAAAATCTTGAAAAACTCTTTTAAACATATGCAATTTAACCTCGAGATTCCAAAAAAATCACGTTAATTGCATTATTGAAATTAAGAATATTTAATTTTCTGTGTAAACTTTCCTTGATAAAATTTCAGGTGTAGCCTGGAATGAAAAGATATATTTTTGTACAAACATAATGTAAAATACCTCACTTTTTGGGAAAAATTATTGAAGTGAATATTCACCTTAGTGAAGTATATTGTATGTGTTGTGGCATTTCTTTGTTCTGGATTAAAAATATATACTTTTGCACATATTTTATTATCTAGCGAAAAGAAGAAAAATGCAATTGCATAATATAAATGTATTTTTCATATTACAATTTCAGTGTTGCATTGCAATATGTCACAAATACCATACTCTACTTGTCAAATGTAAAAACCCAACGATTTTCTGCCAACACAGTCTTGAACATGGAAATGTTTGTCTTTTTGTTCTCTCTGAATTATGCCTGTATTGTGACAAGCTATTTAAAACAATGAATGCTCACAAATAAATAGATCCTTTGAGAAGATGAAACCCTTTATAGATGCGTCTATTTTAACGAAATATGCAAATATGTGCCCCTAATTTCACAAATATGCACCAACAGGAAAAATTTGGCCATATATGCACTAAGACATAATGTAACATACCCCTCTATTTAACAAACGTCAAGAAATTGACTCAGCTATGACACAAAATATGCAAATCATAGAATTCCTGTAGGATAACACTAATAAAACCTAATCAAAGAATACTTGTTGAATGGTATAAATGCTTAGTATGTTTTTTACAGCTCTGGGGCTGAGCATTTATGTCCAGAGGCACAGAAAGCATTTCAAGAAGTCCAATTTCAAGTCGATATTTGTTGATTTTATTTATTTGGTCAGCAATAAATAAATCAATATGGAAATACTCCTTTTGCTGTGATACATCAATATGTGGTAATTGTCTTTAGTGAATTGCAAAAAGTATTGGCTTTGGGAGATGGGACATGATCTCATCTCCTCTTGGATCTGTCACTCCCTCACTCCCTTTCTTTGTGTTTGTACTGAATTTCAAAGAGTATTCACATGACCATGTGTATAATCAATTTTTGTATTATATGGTTGTTCAGACCGCATTCTGTTTTATTACTTTCAAAATTATACTATTGTGAAAACTGTATAATTTATATATGTGTTTAATTTGTCAAATTAAGAGTTTTCAAGTTACAGAAAATCTTAAAATTTATCCAAAAGATGATTGGGCAGCAATAAAAGTACAATTTTCCTTCTTTTTTCCTTCTTAAGTGCATCTTTTAAAATGTGTAATGTTTTGAGCATATGAATAATATGTTTCAGATTAGGAAAGTGTTTCCACAGTCTCGCATCTTGGTATGTGCTCCTTCCAATGCAGCTTGTGACCATGTGGCAACTCGTCTGGTCCCTCACTTCAAGTCCACTGAACTACTTCGTTTCCATTCGTCCAATCGTGAATGGTATTTTGTGAATTTATTTTTATTCTTGGTATTTTATTTAATGAAAAATTAAAAAAAACACTATTATCATTAGCCCAGGCTTTCAAAATGTTCAGAGGGGGGAGAGGGAGATTAGATACTTATCTAACAGTTATCGAATGTCATCAGAGGTTAGGTTAGGTTAGGTTAACTTTTCTACATGGTCTTCAGAGGTCACCTGCACCTGGGGCTGCACACATAAACAAAGGATAATGATGAGTGGGATATGTCGAGGCCATGCCCATGTATATCTGGAATCTCTTTCACAGAATAGACATGGGCAACTAAAGCACTTTGGTTGAAGCAATTTATATATGCTATATTCATGATGGTAAAAAGTACAAATTAGAATCAATGTATAATAAATGTGAATAATGTATGATTGTTTATGTGGCAACAGGCTGTGCTGATATACATTGCACAGAACTTGTACATGTCAATAGGTCAACTGAATGACTATGGAGTAATCTGCAACCACAAGCAACTTCGCTGAATTGTGAACAGTTTACGGAAGTACTTGTGAAGTGGCATCTATTTATGTTACATTGAGTACTGTATGTCAAGGCTGAAAGTTCACAACTGCCTTGGTCACATACCAAACAACAATTTCAACTGCTGATTTGCAATGAACTGCTATGTGCAGCTGCTTATATATCAACTCTCTGCCTGGAAAGAAGGGAAATCTAAGGGGAAGGGAAGAGAGAGCCACTAGGGCAGCACTCCAACAGATGGGAAAGCAGCAAGTGGTTCCTTCAATTGTCATTAATAAGAGTTCTAAATGTAAATTGTGTTAAAGACATGTAACCGAAACTTGACATATCATTAGTCTTTTAATGGTATGAAAAATAGCTTTTGAGTAATGCTGTTTTAAAGTTAACTTTGTATGCAGGGGCACAGTTCCAGAAATTCTTCACAAGTACAGCAATCGGAATGAGAATACTTACTACTCTCCAACTCCAAATGATTTGTTGAAATACAGAGTTGTGGTGTGCACCCTCATTTCAGCCAATAAGTAAGTAATTTGAAATCACAATTTTAAATTATGCTTATATAGCTGTGTGCTAAGAGGTTTTCATTAAAAGTAAATATTGTATTTTCTTCACAGACTGGGGGCCAAAGCCACTGAGCCAGGCCAGTTCTGTTTACAGAAGGTAGTTTTCACGCATATCTTCATTGATGAATGTGGTCAAGCACCAGAGCCAGAAGCACTTGTTCCAATTGGAGTGGCATTAAGTCGCTTCACTGAACATTCCCCCAGTGGAATGGTGGTTCTTGCTGGGGACCCATGTCAGTTGGGTCCTGTCTGTAACTCAAAGCGCTCTGAGAATATTGCTATTGGAATTTTTAATGAGGATGAGGTTATTCCTGAGACTGACGCTGTAACTAAACTAAACAGACGCATGGGACTTGGTAAGTAATGTGTATCTTCTTTCTAAAAGAATGTGTTTAACTGTAACCTCATTCTTTTTATTCTGTGAAATATATTTGGTAAGAAAATTCAGATATCTGAATGACACAAATTCGGAAAACTGAGTATCGCGGCTAAGCAATCAAAGTGCCAAACACATTTCTTCGGGAAAATGAGAAAAACTGCTCATCAATACAATTCTCTTATGACGACGATGACAACAAATGTAACAACATCTACTTCTGTTGGTATGTTTTACATTGAAAAGGAATCATGTCCAGACCCTGGAGCACAGAACACAAAGTTTGTTGACGTGTTGTTCTCACCATGTGTATTCCTTGATCTACGTTATTGGTATGCATCCAAGTCTAAAGGAATTTTTCTTATTAAATGACTTTGGTGGGGAATTTCTGGTATGTCACACATGCCCTCAGAATGCACATTTTCAGTGTTTTGTTTACAGTATTGCATTTTTGAGTAGAAGTGCTTCAAATGACTTCGAATGAAGTTTTTTGAAAACTCAGTTTTCTGTGAAAAGAGTTGAAAGTTTTGCATTTACCATATGACGTAAACACTTCCTTAAAAAGGCTCTAAAATTTTTAAAGAAAATTTTTGATTTCCTTTTTGATTTTTACATTGAGAGGCTTGAAGAGTAGAGCATAAATTTTTTGGATTTCTCTCACTAAGACTTGGCTGTGTGGATCCGATTCAAAATCATAATTACACAAGAATCTCCCAAATGTCGAGTATTCCTAGTTGTAAATTATTTAGGACCTACAATGGCATAGATTGCTCATTATTGCTTAGTAAATGATTGTTTCATGTCCTTAATAGGACTACTAGGCATATTGAACCTTTTTTCTTGCGTAACTATTCTAAACTTTTAACATCAAATAATTTTTTCTTTAGAACTTGTAAAATTTTAAATAATCAAAATCAAGATATTTTTGATCTTAGTATGAGTGAATTGGTAACATGTTTAAGACCATCAGTTCTTCAATATACATAAATAATGTGCTTAAAAGATATTTAATTTATTTAGTTTATACTGAGTCATTATGTTATACTTGTAAATTATTTTTGCTCAAAAATGTAATTTTTGTTATAATTAATTCTTATAAATGCCTGCTTATTCTTCTATTGTGATATATTCGTAAATTGGACATGTTAATGTCCGTTCAATAAATAAATAAATATATAGGACGAAGTTTTACTCTCCTATAATTTTCTTAAAGTAATATTCGGTTCTACCACTAGGAAAACCAAACATTGAGAAAATTTCAAAACTATTTCAATTCTGTATTATCGTTAGTTCTTCTTTTGTTGCCAGAAAGAAGAAGAGAAAACCTTAACATTATACACCAAAGTAAAATAACTTTAATCCACTTCTGTCTCATAAGGTCAAACTTGACGAAATTGATATCAGAGTTTTAATAATCTATTGCCTCCCATCTTTTGCAGTCAAATTTAATTGAAAATTATAGTTTGTTAGAATTTTTACAAACTTGATAAATTTGTAAGTACAATGTTCATGTTTTAACATGTTATTACTAAGCTGTGGATTGAT